GGTCTTGAATAAAAAAACCTATCTGTAATACTCCCACAAAGTGCGGAACGATTCATTTAGTGTAAAACTCTTTTGCTACTTCCACGCACTCCATTCTTGTTTCCAGTATCTTCAACACAATAACAATGATGTTCTCCTTTTTAAATGATCAATATTAATTTTGACAAAATTGAATGCATTAAAAACATATTAATTAACATATTAACATTGCAGTTGCCAGCATCAAAAAATGCTGAAAAATACTTACCAAAAATAGGAAAGCAAGAACAGGAAGAGAATATCTGAAGAAATACATGTGTTCACTTGTTGTGTTTGAAGTGTGTTATCATCTATGTACAATGGGGATTTATTTGATGTAGTGTTCACATGGACATTTTATGATATTAAAGAGAGGGCATCCTCAACTTATTCATTAGTAATTTGTTGTTGTGGGTAAGTACTAAAAGTCGTATATAAACAAAACACAATTCTAAGTAATCATCCTTCCATATTCTTTGTGGTGAAAAACTCGAAGAGTATATCTTAAAAAAATGTGTTAAAGTAAAAACGAAAATAAATTTATTAACTTTTAAGGACCTTGAGAATGTTTTCTACTTTTTTTCAACACTTATATTTCAATTTCCAGAATCCATTTAAACTATTTTTAGCATTTTTAGCATGTATGTCAACATAATAATTTAAAAAGTAATTGGCTGCCCAGAAAAACATTTGAAATATGGGTATTATAATCGTAGATCTACATAAATGTGTTGAGCTATATCAAGCAACCGGAATTGGCACTTTACTAAAATACGTACGTAATATTTTCATAAAAATGCGCCTATTAAATAGAGGTAATCAAATTGCGTTACCGGAATTGACACTATGTTTTTTAATCATTTAAAATTGTGATGAATCAACAATTGATTAAATGTTTCGTAAGGCATATTAATCATAATAGACATCTACTTATAACATTTAAAATTTTATCAATACTATATAAAAATTGCGAGAAAATTAAATATAGCTTCCTCCAGTTAATATCAGAAGCTTTAGAACGCAATTCAGTGCGTTGAACGATACATAGACATTAATAAAATAATTTGAAAGAAATGTTTGATCTTTGTAGCTTCCAAGATTCTTTACAAATTCCATTTCTATACTCAACTTTCCTACAACTTTGTGGAAGATAGATAATTGTGAATATTTTAAATAATTATTAATTTATTGTAAAGTTTTTCATATACATACACAGGTGTCCCGAAACTCAACGTCAAGCGAATTAGTGGTCTCACCAGTTCTTCAGGCTGTTTTGTGTAGCCCCCACCTTTGGTTGAAAGACAGTTGGATGAGATTGAAAAGAGTTGGTTGATCTGAGACTAAGTTATTACGTGGGTCGCAATCAATCCATTCTGCAACCCACTGTGTGGCAGTAGTAGATGGATAACATATCGCGTTACAGAATCCCATAAATAGTGGCAGTGAATATATCAATTCTGCATTGTGCTGTTTGCTTTTGTTGATAATAATTATAATTTCATGTTTGTTAATTTGGGTTGCCAAGATCCTCCCTTAACGGTGGTGTGTTCTTTAATGCTGGGTAGTACAAATTAATAAAGTAAAAGCGGTTGAATACTTATCTTATGAAAGTTCATCTTGTTACCCTCCTAAAGGATCAAAAGAATGAATGTTCAAATACAGACTTTATAGGTTCTTTATGTTCACTGATGAGACTAAAATTAATCTTTGGGGTTCAGACGAAAAGCACATAGTCTGGAGGAGACCAAATTGTGAGCTCAAAAACAAGAATTTGGTGAGAAAAGTTAAACATGGTTGTGTTTAGTAATGCTGTGGGGATCAATGGCAGCCAGCGACGTTGGAATTATGGAGTTTATTGAGGGAAATATGATAAAATTTAGTTATTTCGATGTTTTAAAACGTAATTTATGTCAAAACTCTCAAAAACTCAACCTTTCGACTGTGTTCTGGTTCCAACAAGATAATGATCCTAAATATACATCATACCGCGTGACCATTCCTTCCACTTATTATACAATACTTCAAAACAACTAAAAACACCACCACAGCCTGCGGATATAAGTCCTATTGATCATTTATGAGGAGAAGTAAAGTTTCAGTTAAAGAATAGCAAGTGCAGAAAAAAAGCGAATTGAAATATGAAATTTGTAAAATTTGGGACAGAATCTAGCTAAACTACACCAAAAAGTTAATAGACTCCACGGGGAATGCAGGCGATAATTGACGCCAATGGGGGCCTACAATAACTTAATCACTTTTGTATACTGTATACTAAATTTTATGGCGTAAATTTCGTATCATTTGTTATTATTGTTAATATTATGACTATTTCATTTGGAAAACTGGATTATTTTACATTCAATTTAGTTAATAAGATTGTTGTTAATATACAGGATGATTCATAAGTAATGGGCCAAATTGTAAATGTACGTTCAGGAGGCCAAAATAATAATATTTTCATTAACAATAATGGGTCTTAGTNACACAATAACAATGATCAATATTAGTTTTGACAAAATTGAATTCTTAACATTGTTTTTGTCTGCAGTTGCCAGCATCAAAAAATGCTGAAAAATACTTACCAAAAATAGGAAAGCAAGAACAGGAAGAGAATATCTGAAGAAATACATGTGTTCACTTGTTGTGTTTGAAGTGTGTTATCATCTATGTACAATGGGGATTTATTTGATGTAGTGTTCACATGCATATTTTATGATATGAAAGAGAAGGATCCTCAACTTATTCATTAGTAATTTGTTGTTGTGGGTAAGTACTAAAAGTCGTATATAAACAAAACACAATTCTAAGTAATCATCCTTCCATATTCTTTGTGGTGAAAAACTCGAAGAGTATATCTTAAAAAAATGTGTTAAAGTAAAAACGAAAATAAATTTATTAACTTTTAAGGACCTTGAGAATGTTTTCTACTTTTTTTCAACACTTATATTTCAATTTCCAGAATCCATTTAAACTATTTTTAGCATTTTTAGCATGTATGTCAACATAATAATTTAAAAAGTAATTGGCTGCCCAGAAAAACATTTGAAATATGGGTATTATAATCGTAGATCTACATAAATGTGTTGAGCTATATCAAGCAACCGGAATTGGCACTTTACTAAAATACGTACGTAATATTTTCATAAAAATGCGCCTATTAAATAGAGGTAATCAAATTGCGTTACCGGAATTGACACTATGTTTTTTAATCATTTAAAATTGTGATGAATCAACAATTGATTAAATGTTTCGTAAGGCATATTAATCATAATAGACATCTACTTATAACATTTAAAATTTTATCAATACTATATAAAAATTGCGAGAAAATTAAATATAGCTTCCTCCAGTTAATATCAGAAGCTTTAGAACGCAATTCAGTGCGTTGAACGATACATAGACATTAATAAAATAATTTGAAAGAAATGTTTGATCTTTGTAGCTTCCAAGATTCTTTACAAATTCCATTTCTATACTCAACTTTCTTACAACTTCCCGAAACTCAACGTCAAGCGAATTAGTGGTCTCACCAGTTCTTCAGGCTGTTTTGTGTAGCCCCCACCTTTGGTTGGAAGACAGTTGGATGAGATTGAAAAGAGTTGGATGATCTGAGACTAAGTCATTACGTGGGTCGCAATCAATCCATTCTGCAACCCACTGTGTGGCAGTAGTAGATGGATAACATATCGCGTTACAGAATCCCATAAATAGTGGCAGTGAATATATCAATTCTGCATTGTGCTGTTTGCTTTTGTTGATAATAATTATAATTTCATGTTTGTTAATTTGGGTTGCCAAGATCCTCCCTTAACGGTGGTGTGTTCTTTAATGCTGGGTAGTACAAATTAATAAAGTAAAAGCGGTTGAATACTTATCTTATGAAAGTTCATCTTGTTACCATCCTAAAGGATCAAAAGAAACAATGTTCAAATACAGACTTTATAGGTTCTTTATGTTCACTGATGAGACTAAAATTAATCTGGGGATCAGACGAAAAGCACATAGTTTGGAGGAGACCAAATTGTGAGCTCAAAAACAAGAATTTGGTGGGAATAGTTAAACATGGGGGTGTTTAGTAATGCTGTGGGGATCAATGGCAGCCAGCGACGTTTTAACTATGGAGTTTATTCAGGGAAATATGACAAAATTTAGTTATTTGGATGTTTTAAAACGTAATTTATGTCAAAACTCTCAAAAACTCAACCTTTCGACTGTGTTCTAGTTCCAACAAGATAATGATCCTAAATATACATCATACCGTGTGACCATTCCTTCCACTTATTATACAATACTTCAAAACAACTAAAAACACCACCACAGCCTGCGGATATAAATCCTATTGAATCTAGCTAAACTACACCAAAAAGTTAATAGACTCCACGGGGAATGCAGGCGATAATTGACGCCAATGGAGGGCCTACAATAACATAATCACTTTTGTATACTGTATACTAAATTTTATGGCGTAAATTTCGTATCATTTGTTATTATTGTTAATATTATGACTATTTTATTTGGAAAACTGGATTATTTTGCATTTAATTTAGTTAATAAGAGTTTAATAAAGTTTGTGATGTATATTATACATCACAAACTTTAAAATAAATTAATTAATCTTTCATTCCCCTGCATTGTATACTCTTTTTTGTGAGCAACTGTATGTACTGTCTTCATAATAAAAGCAATAATAAATAATTTGTATGTTACTCATATTCGAAATAAAATTGTAATAAATTGTATTATGTAATTAAAGAAAATTTTGTAAATACATTTTTGAATTAAAGTTTTTAAAATAAAGCAATTAGCGCACTCTTACGTTGACAATATTCAATCACAATCAATCATTACAGAAATCTGTGATTTAGGGTACATCCCACAATTCACTGATTAAAAATTTAACTATCATCTCTCCAAAATATAATTTTTAATAAGATATGGCGTATCTTATCAGTTACAACCGAATATATTAAAATAATATTTGAATAAAAATTAATTAATCATTAAGCTGAATCACTGCAATATGAATTAGAACTTGGCAAACCGTACGGTGGCGACATCCAACACTACATAACAAACCAGAGAGGGGGACGTCAAAAGAACCCCAATAAACAAGTTTTTTTTATTACTTTATCAATAAAAACATTGCGAACGTGTAAGTTCGCATATTTACTACACTGCACTTTGATTCATTGTCAACGAAACCGTGTTTTACGTGAATCAGTAGATTAGATTTATCAGAGGTGAATTGAACATTAATGTTTTGGTCAAGTGGTAAAAAGACATCTGTGGGGAAGATTCGCTGGAAATAATGTTAGCCCCGGGTGTAAGAATTGTGAGGGGCCCCGATTGGTCCTGGGGAGGTCAAGGTGAGATTTTGAGGTTAGATTTTACGCATTCTTAATATTACTGGTGATTTTTTGTGTTTGTAGATGGAGGAGAAGGCTTCACAGGCACTGTTTGTGAAATTGGTAAGACGGGGGCTATTAATTCACCTGATAAAACAGTGGTGGTTCAATGGGATAATGGAGTTCGAACAAATTATAGAGTAGGATACAATGGAAAATATGATTTGAGAGTTATTGATAATGCTCAAATTGGTAAGGGAATTTTATTTATTTTGTTTGTCAAGTTAGTTTAAAGTTAATGATTTATTGGATGTATCAATATTGAAGAAGAAATGCCTAATAAATAAGTATTTCACTACTATCAAGCTCATATCAGTTACTTTAAACTAATTTTTTTAAATATTATTAAATAACACAATATTGTTAAATAATTTTGAAATGCATTATTAAATGAACCATATTTTTAGGTGTTAAACACCCAAATATAGTCTGTGACGGTTGTAAAGGTCAAGGAATAGCTGGAATGCGTTACAAATGTTCTGTTTGTTACGATTTCGATTTATGTTACATATGTTACCATTCAGATAAACACGACATCGCTCATTCTTTTAAAAGATTCGATTTCACACAATCTCTAGGGTACTTACAATTTCTATATTATATTGTGTGTCTCAATTTAGCCTTTCAATACACGCCCCCTACTATCAGTTTAATTTAAATTTCTAATTTCGCACTGGCGCCACCTATTGTTGAGTAACTGTTTCAATGGTATTGTTGACAAGCAATAATAACAATAAAATTCTAATAAATATTAATAATTGTGAAATGTTGTGTATACAAAATAGGTAAATAAAAGTCTGTTTAACCATGCGTTTGAAGACGTATGGCTAAACTCAAAACATTCTAGTTAATAATAACAATAAATTAATTATTGATATTAACTTCAATAACAAAAGAGAAAAAATGTAAGTTATATCTATTATACAGGATGTTTCATAATATATGCGCAAGTTGGATATTTTTGACAATAATATTGTAAATCAGCAATTTATTCATTTTCTAACCATTCTTTAATATAAAAGCAATTCTGAAATAGATACTGTGCAAGATTCTAATAAATAGAAAAGGTATCACAATTCTTAAAGTCACCTTTTGAAGTATCTCCATCAGGGCATTGGACTGATGTGACTGTGAAGCTTTTCTTTCAAAGGTTTCACTTCAGTTGGAGATAATTGATTTGCAGGAATATGTGTGATTGAAAACCAAAATAGACTTATTTTACTTATTACTTATTTAACATGCCCCCACTGAAGAATTTTGGGGACATGTTTCAGAAAACAATTTCGCCAATACAGTGGCGGAATTATTTCTTGAATTATTTTTGGTTTAATTAATCCTTCATTTTTAAGCTTTTACAGGGGCACATTTAAAATCAGCCAGCTATGATGCTCCTTTTGATATTCCTTAATATAATAGATATATAGGATGTTTCATAATATATGCGCTGGACTTCAGGATGTGATAGCTTGTCCAAATTTGAAAAAAAGTTTCTATCAGCTTACCCTCTAAAATGCACCATTTTTGAGATAGAGGGTGTTGAAATTTAATTAAAAACATCGTTTTTTGCAAATATCTCCGTAACCGTTTATCGTACAGAAAACAGCATTTATAAGCATTTTCCACTCATAATAACCTAAGTTTTGTGCGAGCAAAAAAGTTTTTTAAAGTCATAATTGGTGAAGATTTTGAAGGGGTAGTAGTTGTTTTTCTTCCCAACTTCTTCGCCACTGGAAAAAGTACGGGTTTGAGACGCCCATTTGAACTGTCAATATTTTCTACACAGAAAAGGTACTGAAGGTCATGAGCTCTAAAGTTGACCGTTTTCTCGAAAAATCAACTTTTATGTTGAATAACATGGTCAATTTTTTGAAATAAAATTTTTATTTTACTAGAACGTTAGAACAAGTAACAAAAGCAAACGTTAACTTCATAATTGCATAATTAAAAAAAAACAATTACAAATCATACATAGTTAAATTAAATGTTGGAAATGTCCGCCGTTAGCTTCAATGCACGCAGCATTTCTTCGACGCATTGACTGTCTAACACGCAGGAAAATTCTCGGAGTGTTCCGAATTATGTCACAAGATACAACAATGCGCTCTCTTAATTGGTCAACATTTTCAACTTGAGTAGCTAGACTAGGGTTTTCAGATGGCCCTAAAAGAAAAAATCTAAACAATTAAGTTTGGGAGATCCAACGGTCTGGGTATTCGTCGTCAAAGTATTGGCCAGCAACCCAACTAAAGTGGGCCGGAGCTCCATCATGCATAAAGTACATGTTTTGTCTTACTTGAAGCGGTACATCTTCCAGCAGTTCCGGCAGTACTTCTTCTAAAAATTGTCGTAATCTGCACTGTTTAACCTGTTCGGTAAAAATGTGGGCCTATCAAATGATCACCGAAGATGGCAAACATTTACGGAAAATTGTTGCCGATGATGGCCTTCTGCAATTTCATGTGGATTTTCTTCTGCCCAAATGTGGTTATTGTGAAAATTTGAAATACCATCCTTCGAGAAAAATGCTTCATCAGTAAACAGAACATCGGCTCCAAACTCATTATTTTGAGCTATTTTGTCTTGCATCCATGTAGAAAAAGCCAATCTTAGCGTAAAATCTTTTGGCAATAAGGCTTGTACTCTTTGGATATGGTAGGGATACAAAAATTGCTTTTTCAAAATTCTCCAGACCGTCGAGTGAGATAGGTTTAAGTTGTGAGCAATTTTTCTGGTACTTGTGGTCGGATTTTCATCAATTTCGTTGCGGACAGCCTCTTCTACTCTGGGATTTGCAACTTCCATAGGCCGCCCATTATCAGCAGTATTCCTTTTAAAACTTCCATTTTCCCATAGTCGTTGGAGAATGCGTAGAAACAAGTTATGGTGTGGTACTATAATGTTGTGGTGTGGTAATACAACCGCCTTGTTTCTTCCGATTTTCTTCCGTAAAGGTAATACATTTCGCACATTTCAGCGTTTGTGTAATTCTAAGTCTAAGCAAGTATGACAGATTCAAGATGCAATTCTTGTTGGCTCACAGATTAGTTGTTCTAAGCGGAAACTTGCAAACACATCATACAAACGTTTCCAAGTAGATCAGAATTTCCTAAACAAAATATTTCTTCCGTGGAGGGGCAAACATATACCAACGATTCTCTAGTTGTGTCAAGAAATGACACTAATTACCAAGAGCACGTCTATACATATATCACACCAACCACAATTTTGGTAAGTCAACAACTGATCTCAATCCACAATTGCTTCAATGAGCTGGAAATGCCATGGAATAGTCACTTAAAGGAAGGCTTAAAGGAACTATGGATGTACAATCCGACACATCACTCAAGGAATCACCAGTTTATCATGAGAAAATCCAATTCCACACATGTACTCAACCAAGTTTACAGCAAAGTGGAATAATATATAGATATCATGGAAGAAAATAAGAACAGAAAAAAAGAAAATCGTGCGTCTCTTAAGAGGGCTAAAAAAATTGTTGCTAGTTCTAAGTTTAATGTTATTTCTAGAGCTAGTGTTACTTCTAGTTTTAGTTGTTCTACAAATATTTGAATCTCTGATACAAATGGGTTAAGTTATATGGATTTAATACAAAAAAGTAAATAACAAAATTTAGATAATAAATTTTAAGTTTAATAAGTTCTAATTAACGCCATCTTTTGCCCGACGATCGTTTTTATTTAACAATTGTTGACTTATAATCTGCCGCTTATGACTGTGGAAGTGACGCGTGTATTGAAAGGTTGAAAGAAAAACCTTTGGAGTACCATGAAAAATATTGCAAATTGGCACTATAGATACTTTGACGCTTTAAACTGTTAAAATTTTTTAAATTAAAATCATGGTATGCTAAGGTTTTTTTAATTGAGCATGCGTTATTTATATATTTTAAATTAAAATCTTCTTTGTTAATAGAGTTGATTTGCCTTTACGAAAAAACGGTAGAAAATGCGAGTTAAAAGGCATATTTGTAAATGCCAAAGTTATAAGGGGTTTTAGTTGGGAATGGAACAACCAAGACGGTGGCGAAGGAAATGTTGGAGAAGTCATGGACATTCGTGGTTGGGATAATGAGAGTTGTCGATCCGTAGTAAATGTTAAGTGGGTTTCTGGAACGACGAATGTGTATAGATTAGGACATAAAGGGCTTTGCGACGTTAAGTTTGTTGAAGCAACATCAGGCGGAAGTTATTATCCAGACCATTTACCCATTTTAGGGCAAAATACTGAGCAGATGTCCGTAAGACACACTATTGGTCCTCCTCCTTTTAGCGTAGGAGATAAAGTTAAGGTTACCGTTGGAGTTGATCAATTAAAAGGGTATCAACAAGGACATGGTGGTTGGAATCCAAGAATGGCCGAGGTAAAATAATATTTTTTTAAAAAAATGTAATAGAGAAATTTTGTTTGTTGTAGTATATTGGTAAAATTGGAACAGTACATCGTGTTACTGATAAAGGCGACATTCGTGTTCAATATGAAGGCTGTAATAATCGGTGGACGTTTAATCCCGTGGCTTTATGTAAAGTTAATAGTTTTGCAATTGGGGATATTGTAAGTGTAATAAATGACGTTGAAAAAGTGAAAGATTTACAAAAAGGACATGGTGAATGGATCGATATCATGAGAAATGTAAAACAATTTGTTGCAATTTCTTTAAATATGATAAAAATGTTTCTTGTAGGCTTTGGGTAAATTAGGAAAAGTCGTGAAAGTTTATTCCGACGGAGATCTTAGGGTTCAATTAGACGGTCATGCATGGACTTTAAATCCACAATGCGTGCGAGTTGTTCCAGGAAGTGCTGCTGAGTTGGCCAATACAATGCATGCTACTCAAAATCAAAGACAAGAACCATCCAGTAAGTTATTAACCCACCACCTAATCTGAGTTAACCATTTGAAAAAACTCTTATCATTATATTTCTTCTATTGTTAAAATAGTGCAATGGCATCCAGCTAATCCCTCCAATAATCAAACAAACGGTACCGCAGACCAGTTAGTACGGGCGGCTGCTCAAGGTCAGTTAGATGCCGTTTGTCGACTTCTAGACGAGCTTCCGGCTGGAATGGTGGATGTACGAAGTGGCGGAAAAACTCCTTTGCAAGTAGCCGCGCATCAGGGTCACGTTACCATCGTACAAGAACTTTTACAAAAAGGAGCTGATGTTAACGCGTGTGATAATGATGGTGACACTTGTCTTCATTACGCCGCGTTTGGTAATCAACCGGAAGTAAGTTAGAAAAGATTATACAGGTTGTTTTAAAAGGAGTCTGCGAAAAGCACGATTTATTTTTTATGCAATTCTCGAATCTAAAAATTTTTTTATATAGGTATAATCAATGATGTCAAAATAGATGATGAGGGCAGCGACATTGAGAGTCATTGTTGTGCAATTGTAAAAGAATCTCACAAACACTTGTACAGGTTTTTGCTAATATCAAATAATTACTTGAATGTATATTGAATTAAAGTTTAACCAAGTTTAAACATTATTTATAGTTACTGTATAATCAATTATATTTATTTAGAGAAGTTTCAAGATTAGAAACCCCCTAGACTACTACACCTATGTATACACAATGAATTCTAAAAATTTACTTCATTTTTGAAAAGGTGACGCCGCGCCATTATCTGGGCGTATGTTTGGTAGCCTAACTAACAGATTTTACACCAAATAGTGTGGAAAGCAGTACTAAAGTCACATACTTTCCTAACTAATATTCTTCAACGTCGTTCTTTTTCAACATCTATATGGCTACAAGTCAATGCCTTTTGTTCAGAAGGCAAATTATTGAACTCGTCCCTTTTCATTACTCAATATTTTTGGATCCATCTCATTACAATCTGATTCAATTCCGGATGATATGGTGGTAAGCTTACACTTGGGGGACCATGCTTACCAAAACTCCTTATTTAGCATGCTGAGGTTGATCATCTTATTTACTCTAGACGGGTAGTAGATTAGATATTTGTTTGATAAATCTGTTTTTGCAATAAAGTGCTTCTATGCTGCAGATTCAGCAAAATTAACTTTTATTTTAATAATTATTATAATTTTTACGGAAGATTCAGTATCAACGTTCAATATAATCTGCGCTCCTCGAATGTCCTTCTTGTTAAGATACAGTATCACTTCCATTTGCATCACTTTTACCAGTTCAATCTACATGTAAGTGCCAGTGTGATGTCTGGTTGGTCATTAGTCATTGGTCATTATAAATGAACAGACATATTAATTATATGTATTATATGTAATAGCTTCTTTACTATTGTCTGTTTTGTAATTAACTTCACTCTAATCTCCACAACTACTTAAACTGCTAGTCTCCTACTACACATCTTTTAATTATTTTATTTTATTAGTGTAGTTTACATTACATATACTATTGAATAACACAATATAGGCTACATCAATTAATATTAACGCTAGTAATGGAAAGTTAGTAATATCTGCTCTTTACTGTCCTCAGAATAAATTTATATCTGATCTCTAGCACAGCGATTTTTTTAAATTGCTAGGATATCGTTTTGTAGCTGCGGGCGATTATAATTCGAAACATCATTTCTGGGGATCAAGACTAATCACCACCAGAGGAAGGTATCATTACAAAGGTATTTTGGACAATAAGCTGAACACTATTCACAGGTCTGTCGACTATTGAGTTATTAATAGAATATCATTGAACTACATTAAAATTGAGATGTTATTTGAATGGTCAGATGACGAACATTCCTTATTTATTGTTAAAAGAGTAATGAAAGCGTGCGTACTCATAGGTTTTTGTGGAAATGCTTAATATCTGAAACATTAAATTAAACCTTCCTCTTAAGAGTGGTAGTGATATTGAACAAGCTGTGCAACATTTGACAATAACAACCCAAAAAGCTGCGTTGAAATCACCTCATCAAGTATCGCCGTATACCAAGCCTGTGTATTGTCCACAGGTAATACTCAATATGATGGAAAAGGAAAGGAAACTAAGGAAAACTTTGCAAATTACCTGAAACTTCAGAGAAAAAATTATATTAAGTAGGGCTTCATAAGAACTGAAAGAAGCATTAGATATATAAGAATTCAAAGAATTCTTCTATTTGGAAAGTAACGAAAACATTGATACAGCAACAAATTACAAATATGGCTATAAGGAAAAAAGACGGCACACAGTGGTCCGAACGGCAAGAAAACCCGATCGATAATATTATTTTGCTGTTAGCAATTAGCTAGCTTCATATAAATTAAATTCGTCAACCGGAAGTAGTACTTTATTTAAATTCATACTCATGTGTATGTAGTATTCATACTCATTTTCTTTTCATATAAATTAAGACTTTAAAGAAGAATATTACTATAAAATTTTGTACAAGACATTAAACATATATTACTTCACATTTTTTCGTGAAATTACGTGACCGGAAATTCCTAAACACATATCTAAATTGTTTTATAGAGGAACTCTACAGGATGTCTCACGTAATTGGTTCGTTAGAACTTTTTTAGGTACCACTATTCGTAGAGGTTTAAAATTTTGGTAATATGGGTTGTTCATTCGAAACTTACGATCTAAAACACTTTCAAGATGGCCGCCACTTCCGGTCTACCGGATGTAGACCACAACTTCGTTATTTTAAATGGAATGCTATAGTTTTTATTGCACCTTTTAATTATATGCGAGAAAATAAGTTGACGTTGATAAAAGTTATTGGTACCTAGCATTTTTCGTTTTCGAGTTATTTTGATTTTTAAGTTTTTTGTTTGGCAAAATATATTATGCTCTAACCGTATATATCTATCGTTCATTTAAAAAAAGCTCTAAGTTGGCACGATAACTCTTGAGATGTTGTCAAACAGATTGTCATTTGTTGTATTAAAGTATCTTATACAGGCTGGTCAAAAATTGAATTACCGTTTTTCACAATTGTGTTTTAAGTAATCTTTGACTGCCAATTTTTTTCTTAAGGCGCACGTTGGCACGGTTTCTTTTTTATGCTATGTACACCATACCTTCAGCAATAAGAAAATGTCAGCTACAATTGTTCTTCTTTGTTCTCTCGCAAGATATTTAATTTAAAAGATTGAATGGTCAATAAATATAAGTATTTATTGACGTTAATAGAAATGGTTGTAATTTTTTTCAACAAACAACACTAAACAAAATTTTTTTTAATTGATTTTCTATTGGATTTTGTGTGTTTTCGGACCATTGTGCGGCACCTGCATAACCTGATTACAATGTTACGGTAATAGTGGGCTACTTTCCCATACAATAGAAGGTAACATAAATAATTATGATCTCCGAACGGAATAAAGACCCGACTGATGTAACATCATAGCTTATTACCCTTCAGCCGGTGGTGAAGGTACTGGACAGGGTGGTGTTGAGTAAACTACTAGATACTCTATCCAGGTAGAAGTGAATAGCAGATTACTAGTTCGGCTTTGGAACTCAAACGTAACACTATGGAACAGATCCATAAACAAAAAGTGCTGCATTACTACCGTCTTGGATGTTTTTCCTTTGATAAGGTGTGGCATTACGGTCTGATTATAAAAAGAAAATGTAGTTACCACATAACATGTCTTTACTTTTGTACTCATACCTAAAAAAATAGATTCTTTTTAGTGTAACAGGATGATTCTAATGAGTACTTAGCGATATCACTCATGAGGATGAGTGCCCACCATACTTCCAGTTGGATTCATTGATAATTCATTAATTATTGGCACTTTCACTGGCGACACTATAATTATGGCCACTCTGAACCTATATTGGATATCCAACATCTTCAGTACCATCTGGACTAGCTTCAGGAATAGTTGGCATGGGGTCGGGGATAAATGTTAATAGTGTGAAACCACGCAGATTACGTTCACTTTTATGAAGAGTACTACTCCAGTCTAAGATAGAGGAACATAATATTTTAACAGCCGTCTCACTTAGAACAAGAATATACAAATGAAATGATTTCAGCTAGGAATAGTATACGTGAAAATGTATTGGTATATGAACAAAAATTCTTGTTTAAGTCGTAAAAATAAATTTAGAATCTACAAGGGCGTATTGATCCCAATTTGGGAGTATGGTCTACAATTTACAAATTATAGGGAACTGTCAACGATACTGGAATACTCGGAACTGCATCGATTTCAATCCAATATACTTTGCCATACCTGTCAGGCACCATGGAACGTATTAATCATGTTATCCATAAAGATATCCACATGACAATTCAAGTAATAGAAGTTACCCATCGGAGCTCTAAATACGTAAAAAGGTTAGAAAACTATTGAAATTTTCGGCCCATCACTAAAAGTTTGTTGACGAGGTTGGACCCGCTCGATTTGCCATCAAGAGCTTAGTGTAAAGAGGAAAAAAAGAATAAAAAACGAATAGGAAAATATAATATACAAAGTAAATAATACTAGTGACGAGAGTCATCACGTTGTTGTAATTAATTCTATTCCATTTCATTTTATTTTCAATACGAATCATATCACATTGTTTACTGTTATTTTTCTAATTGTCCGTTGAGTAAGTTGTTTTTGCTGATTGTTTTGTAGCTTGTTTATTTCTTTACGGACTGTGTTTCCAAATAAACGTACTAAGTGTTTTTGACGTTGCTGCTGAAGTGACTGATACGCTGAGAATACCAATACCAATTTTAGCCAAGATATTGGGAAAGACTAGATCCTACTTTATCTTTGAAATATGGTTTTTCTAATCATACTTGAGCAATCTGTACACTAATTTTCGTACTAATTGTTTCTATCAGCTATTTGTCATGATTCTTTTCTCTTGGGGTTTTTGTCGGTAAAGATCAGGTATAGAATATTCGTTCAGGTTCGTCTCAAGATCTTCTGATTCATATAGTACACCTTAAGATTCGTTGGATTCATAATTAGTTAGCTTTGCAATTATTAATTGCTTTAAATAGACGTAATAGGGGTAGTTGTCCTGTTTTTCCCGCAAACTTTAACGAAACATTAGCATTTCCGTCCATTTATTAGAAGATAAGACTTGCACGTGGTGATTGTTTTAGGATAACTGTGGTTGTGCATTGTGTAAAACAAAACTTGACAAAATATCTCATTTCTTTGAAAAATTCATTCTAAACTACTATAAAGAGAGGAGTTTAACATTATTTTAGAAGTTTTTAGGGCATTTTAAACACTTAATTATGTGTTGTTTCATTTTATTTGCCGTTTTATGTTTATATTCGTTTAAATAATCTTACACGTCGCCCACATTTCTTCGTTCCCATAGTTTTAAAGTCTTTTTTATATTTAATCATTATTATTATAGTTAATACTTTTATTTCACTGAAATCCCTAAACTGTATAATGACAGGAAACGAAAAATTTGCATAAATAATCAGGTAACGTAACCAGATTTTTAGTTTCCTACCTACTAACTATTTCCCCAATGACATCATTAGTTATGAATCACTACAATCATGGAAGAATTTAGTAGAGCTTAACAGAAATTACTTTTCTGAATAAAACTTTGAAAGTAACAAAAATCCCAAGTAGCTAAACTCATTTTAAAGGTTAATAAATAAATAAACAATTTGTGTGGGAAAATCGAACAGTTAAAATAAGTTAATTTTAAATTCTTCGATAATAGTTTTTTTTAAAGACTGCTTTTGAACTACCCTGTATGACAATTTCTCGATTTTAATAAACAATTTTTATGATTTCTTTCAGGTTTTGCATCTATTAATCGAAGCTGGTGCTTCGTTAAATACTTCGAATCGTGGCGGTTGTACCGCTCTTCACATAGCAGCTCATAAATATCCACCTCGATCGGTTCAAATGTTATTGAACGCCGGGGCCGATCCAAATTGCCGCGACGCGTATGGAGATACCGCCCTTCACGACGCCATCGGAAAAGACAATTACCAGGTAATCGATTTGCTATGTTCTGCGCCGGGTACAGATTTCACATTAAAAAATAAACGCGGTTTTAACGTTTTACATCACGCCGCATTAAAAGGTAAAAATCAAGCGACGAAAAAATTATTATCTAAAGCACGTCAATTGGTGGACGTGAAGAAAGACGATGGATTCTCAGCGTTACATTTGGCAGCTTTAAACGGACACAAAGATGTCGTTAAGACGTTAATTCAAATAGGGCAAGCGGATATTGATCTGCGGAATAACCGCAACCAATCGGCTTTGCTTCTAGCTGTTAGTCAAGGTCATTGTGGAGTTATCGAGTTATTAATTGATTTAAAGGCAAATATTAACGCTAAGGATGAAGATGGTGATACAGCGTTACATTTAGCTTTGATTAAACGCTCGCAATTTCAATCTGATGTAAAAGAAAATGAGAGTCCAAACATTTTTCAAATATATCAGAATTTTAATGATGAAATTACCGAATTTAAAATCGCTTTAGCGATCGGTTGTTATTTAATTCGAAAAGGGATCGATTTGGACCTTTTGAATTCAAAAAGTCAACCGGCGTTGAGTCTCTTGCAGGAATCTTACTTACAAGAGTTGTTAAAAAGCTTTAAACCAATCGCGGATAACAACCCGGCTGTTTTAGACAATATCGGTTTGGAAAGTTTATCATTAAACGAAGCTCGAACGAATCAGAACTATAATCTCACCGAAAGACGTAATTTCGATGAAATCAATAATCAGAGGCGTTCGAGGTTAGAAAAATCCGACCACAGCATTAGCAGTACTTCTCAAGAAAACTCACCAAACCATAAGAACCATCATTACCAAAACGAAATAACCACATCAAAACCAGTCGAATGTCAAGTTTGTTCTGAATTATCCGAAGAAAACGTTCGTTTAGAACCGTGTAATCACAAACCTGCTTGCGAAGATTGTTCGTCGAGAATGAAAAAGTGTTTGCATTGCGGAACTATCGTTCAAAAAAGAGTTACGAAAGACGGAAGGGTTATTCCGGCTAAAAGTCGACAACCGAGCGCTGAAAGAATGCGTTATTTAGAATGTAAAATTGCCGAAATCGAAGAAAGTCACGCGTGTTCGATTTGTATGGAACGAAAGAAAAACGTGGTGTTTTTATGTGGTCATATGACGTGTTCGAAATGTGCTGATACTCTTAAAACGTGTCATATGTGTAGAAAACCAATTTCGAAAAAAATACCTACTTATTAACGATTAATTTTTGAGCTTTTTGATTTTCTCTTCAAAAAAATATCTTTCGCTAGTTCCCTCACTTAAGAATGGTATCATTATTTGTACTATTTAAAAATTGCACTATTCGAATAAGTCTGAATCAAATAATAATCAAGGTTTTTTGAGTGTTGCTTATCCAACTTTGACAACTTAAATGAGACAACCTTGTGGTTTTTGTTACTTAGGTGTATTGAGCAGTGTTTATCCAACATTAAATACACCAATAAGCTTAGAATACAAATTTGTATAAAATTGGAAAAAGAATTAAGCAATACTCAAAGAATCTTGATAATAATCAAAAAGCAAGTTTAAAAGAAGCAACTAAATAATTAATTTAAAAATAAACAACGTACTCAGGTATACATATTTGTAAATATATTTTATTAGCGACTGATGATATCTCTTTCAGTTTTGTAGTCATTAAATTATTTAAAAGGAAACTTAGAGGCAACACTAGCGAGTAGAAAAATAATGTAGTGGGCAGATTTTTTCTCGTCTATAAAAGTTTTAAAACGACTTCATATATTGATATCTGTTATAAAACATTTTAAATTTAAAAACATTTTTAAAACACGAAAGATAAGGATTAATTTAGACTTTTGAATTATTTAAATTCTGTTGATTCTTTTACATTTAAAACATAATATAAAGTCGTTTCCAAATTTTTAAAGCATGGTGTTTTAAAAATTTTTGTGCATCGAAAAGACACCAAATTTTGTAACGCCACTAAGTAAGTAACGATGAGTTGATTAGTTTCTTTTTTGTTTTAAATAAAGAAGAAATAGAAACCGTCTGTAGCATTTTCGAGTACAAAAAGAACGAATATCAGAAAAATCTAAAAACAAAAATGTTTATATTATGAAATAATAAGGCATTGTTTTTGCTTGGCGTTATTTTGTTTCTGTGATTGTTTAGAATTAAGTGTACAGTTTTTTTGTGTAAGAATAAAATGAAAAGGAAAAAAAAACGAAATGCTAAATAAGAAATAATTGGTATGGAGTATTTCTCAAAGAAAAAAAAATCATAAACATTTTTTAGAATCGACTGAATATCAATATATATAGCATATATATATTTTAAAATATTTTAATGTTATTATATTTAGCCTTATCTAAAATAAAAAGATATTTCATTTGACGTCGTTTTTTTATTATGTTAATTTCTTTTAATATAATGGTATCTTCACAATATTATTAATTCAAGTGGTGCAAACAAAGCGGAAAACTTGGGGTAAACCGGGACAATCAATACTTGGCAGGTACGTTTTTATAATTTATAAGCTTGTCGTATCATGAGGTCAAAATAACAATCATTGTCGACCGAAGCGCTTATTGCACTGTAGTAATTTAAAAATTCTTCATTAGTTACCTGTAAATATAAAAATTATTTTAATATTAACAAAATATATTAAAAATCAAACTTTTCCATCTGGAGTTCCATTCAATTCGAAATTATTCAAAAATTTCTTTAGAATCGACTCCTCAGTTTCTTCCCCTGAAATATACCGTGGATGGAATTTAACGCTGTAAACATTTTTTAAATCGTCTATTGTTATTACTCCATCTCCAGTTTTATCCATCTTTTTAAATGCTTCTTGAATTACTTTAATTCGTGACTCGGACATTGGAGGCTAAAAAAACAAAGTAAATCCGTTTAATTTGCATTTTGTAATAATTTTGTTTTTCTACGACTAATTGAAAATAATTAAGCATGGACATTAAAGAGAAGTGGAGCCAATAATAGCGGAAATTAAGGAAGGCTGTTTGAAGTGATAAGGATGCTTAATCAGGATGAAGGATACAGGCGAATGAAATTGGAAACTCAATAAATGACAAAAAATTGTTGGACTAATTCTGCAATGGACTTCAATTAAGTGATCAAATCTATCTTCGGCAGTGAGTTCCACAGAAGAAAGAATGCGGTAGTACATATTACGTGAAGTTGTAAATGTTTTGACTAATGAAGCCGCGATTTCTAATGGAATTATCGCACACTTTTTTCTATGTACAGGGTGGCCAAATAAGCGTGAAGTATCTCGGAAAGTACTTATTGTAGGGACTTGCGGTAAAAACAGTAATGCCTAAAGTGGCTAAGAGAAAATCCTCGAAATTATTTTCAAGTTTTTAAAATGACCACTAAGGAGCGCAACCGCTATCTTGAATTAAAAAATGTGGTTTTCTCGGAATTCCGCTGTATTCACATAACAAAAAAGCATATGTCTTTTAAAGTTTAGAAATTATAGTTTTTTTTGTTAAAACTCTTTTGGCCATCAATAAATCCATCATAAAAATCCTAACAAGTTAAATCTGGGGATCTGGCTGGCCATGAAAATAGGTTTCTTCTTCCGACCCATCGTGTAGATGGTCTCCAATATTTATAGCAAAATGTGCTGGACAACCATCCAGTTGTTAGAACAAATTTTGCCGTGATTCCAATGGCACACCTTCTAACAAAATCTGTAATTGATTGACCAACTGATCGAAATCCATTGAATGTTCTCATAAAATCTTCTTTCGCCGATATTTTAGGTTAGGAACAAAATATCGAGGCGCGGTTTTCTGTAGCTTGTTTGGGCTTAATTTTGCTATTTTTTCTTTCAAAAAAGTAATACCAATAGGTAAAGCACAATTTCTATTGTAACATCGAAAAATACCCTCTAGTGGCAACATACCAAATTACAATCACCACAAATAAGGTAGGATTTGTAGTCCAAGAGTAGCTCTTTCCAATGTTACCAAGCTTATTAAATTCCGTTCAGCCATTTTGAAATTATTGGCATTTGTTTACAAACATTTTCGAACATCCCCCACCACCTTACTTTTAGAGATAGTGCAAAAAGTGCTTTAACAAAAAAAAACTATAATTTATCTAAACTTTAGAAGCTTTCTTGTTATGTTAATATAGCGAAATTCCGAGAAAAAACACATTTTGTAATTCAAGATGGCGGTTGCGCCCACTAGTGATCTTCTTAGAAACTTGAAAATAATTTCCAGGATTCTCTCTTAGCCACTTTAGTTATTAAATTTTTTACCACAAGTCTTTACAATGAGTAGTTTCCGAGACACAGTGCTTTGCACTATTATTTGGCCACCCTGTGCTTCCAGCTGGAACTTTCAAGTAACACTGATTCATACGGCACCGCTGCAAGAACGCAAGTAGGTGTGCAAGCAAGTTCGCGGTTCCGCAGGGGAACTAAACGGTAAAAAACCGCAAGTGTGATTAAGCCGAGGTTGTTTGTGATCGAGGCTTAGTGATTAACATTATATCAACCTGAAACTGCTCATCATATGTAACCCCTCGGCCGTGAAGGGCCTTGGCTTTATCAAGAGAGACTTACAGGTATTTGAGTAATTAAGCAGAAGTTGGTTGCGACCGAGGCTAAGTGATTAAGATTATATCAACCTGGCCTATAAGGATGGTCATCATATTGTAAGGCCTCGGCCTTGACTTTATCAAATGGATTTGTAGATTTATTGACTAATTAAGCTAAGGTCACTTGCTGCCGAAACTCAATGATTAAGACCAGGTGCAAAATTGAGGCTTTTTACTCCCCGTCTCCGGGCCTGCACGACGGGTTTGTTATGAGTACGATTTTGTTTATTCGTTGCAGACATAAGTCGAAAAAATAAAGGAGTATTGAGCAGTGTCTAATTCTGCATATGAACACTCCGATGCAAATTTCTGCTTCTACGGTGGAGACAAATCCAGATAGAGCATTTTGTCCTCAATCAAACTATTTACTAAAAATTATAAGCTGGATGTTCGGTGTGAGGTGTTAAATATAGTAGAAAGAATAAGACTTGCCACGCAAACTCATTTCATTCCAGTGCCCCTAAAACAGCTACTTATCATCATGCATCTACTCCTAGTGTCTCTCAGGCAGCTACTTATTAATAATAATTTATTGTTTCTCATAAGGTTACAATTTATACTAAGTACAATACTTATAACTTATATAATGCTTATCCCTTTAACCAGCCTCTTCCTGTCCCCCTACGTCTGCTCGCTGCCACCACTTCCCCCATCCATCTCCTTCACATCGCCATCTCCCTCAGCACCTTCCTCCAATTCATCTCCTCTTCCCTCAATTCACTGCACTCCATCAGCAGATGGTGTAAAGACTCCCAGCCTTCACCACATAGTCTGTCCTCCGTCTCCTTATCCTCCATCCAATATTTATTGGCCCTTTCTTCATTACCACATCTAAACCTGGCTATCAACCTCTTGTCCTCCTCATCCCCCTTCATCATCAGGTACTTTGGTAGCCCTTTCGCTACAATATCGGCATATTTTGGGTTGTACCTATTTTCCCTTATCACCGTCCATCTCTCTTGCATTCCCACATCCCTGTCCCTTTTCTTTTCCTGTTCACTTCTTCCGTTGAATACCCCATTCTTCTGTAGTATTCCTTCCTCTCTCGCTGCTCATAACGCCTCTTACTTGCTCTAATCTGTCTGTAGCACTCCTCAAGATTTTACAATGCCCTGTACCTTCCACCCTCTCCTCAAAACGCACCGCTCACTTACCCACCTCCACCCTCACCTTCATTTCTTTCCTGACTATAGTATATGGCGGAGTTTCCCTAGCTGAACACCCACCTTCAGTACCTGATCTGCACATCCTCTAAGAGCCCCTGCTCCTTCAAACGCCGCCTTTAGATCTATAAATAGAGCATAAAGCAGCCTCCCTTTCGATCCAGTTCTCTATCCACCACTCAGACAGCTACTTATCATCCATCTTATCTTAGTGTCCCTCAGGCAGCTACTTATCACCATCCATCTAGTCCTAGTGTCCCACAGGGAACTCTTATCAACCTCTGGATCCTGCTCCACCAATCCCAACAGAATTGCAGGTACGGCTGCCATCAGCGACAAATTCTGCCTACACAGTTCAACCTTCCCCAAAATGGATATCATCCTCTCGATCTCAAACGGCGGTAGATGAAGATATCGATATATTTTATAGCTAAAGATCTCTTGTAAAAGTAATAATCAGTAACAATTTTTATTAAAACAACAAGAATTTGCTATGGTTAGATGTTAGAGTAAGTGCTTAAAATGTCCTCCTTCGGCAGCAATACATTCTTGGCATCGCCGAATCGCTCAAGAATTGCGGGGCTATCCCAGACTACACAAAAACTATGACTGATTCGGTCGCGCAGTTCTTGTAAAGTATGGATTGATGTAAAGTACACAAGTTGTTTTAGGTGGTCCCATAAAAGAATCTATCGAAGTGTAATCCGAAGAAAGTGGTGGCAACTAACCCACTTCTACCAATCCACCGATTCTGAAATGTATTGTTTAAGTAGTCCCTAGCAAAAAGGCCATAAGACCATAAAAAACCATAAATTACGACGTGTTTCCAGCGGAACGTCATCCTATTAAATAATCGTCAACAATGCCAGCCTAGATGTTTCACGAAAAAGTTTGTTCATATTGATTGTCTAATTGCGTGAGGATTTTCTACAACTCATTGTTAGTCATTATGAAAATTCATAATTCATCCCTAGTAAATTTTGCTTCATTCGTAAAAAGCACAACAGATTGGAAGTACGAAATGATGCACTCCAGTAAAAACTAATTACAAAATAGCAGTCGTGGTCGAAAACCAGCTTCACTAAGACCATATGGCTAAAGAAGCTGTTTGTACACAACTCTACATACTGTACTTTGCAAAACATCTACTTCTAAAGATAATTTCCTAGTACTGGTTGTACAATTCTCCAACGCCGGTGTTCTGGTGCTTCTTGAAACCCCACAATCTGAAGTATTCCGTATAAAATATCTTGTTTCACAAAGACGTTGATGGATTACCGCAAAAGTCCCTTCAGCTGGTTATTACATCTTCGGTTCGGAAATGTTTTGGTATAAAGCAGTCGAACCAAATTACTGTTACCATTTGCTCGCCCATACATGAAATGTGTCTGCCATTTCTTTATTAATAAAATTCATATCTAATTTTCAAAATGCGACACTGTTTTGTCTGACAATTAATTGTTAAGAAACAAAAGGGTAATATCCAATTCAACCACAACGAACTTTATTAACTCAGAAGAATGATTGAAATAACAAGCCAATTATTAGCTTCTATTAATTTTGAAGTGCGTAACTTTTTAAGGCAGCATTTTTAGACACACATTTATAGGAACTTTTTAAAGGTGTGTCCAGACATTGCGCGGCAGCAACGCGCGGCGTTCGTCGGACACAATTCTGCTGCGCGCCAGTTTGGACGTATTCAAATAACGTGTGCGCGGCAGTGCTACGCGGCATATGCGCGGCACGCCGCGCGCTATTGCCGCGCACGAATGCCTGGACACACCTTTATAGTTTTGTTCATACATCACGTTGGTGAAGTTTGACCAAGCAATTCAGATACACCCTGTATAATATGCATAAGTATATTTTCCAAAATAAAGGCTTCTAACAAGCTACTTTTATAATTATATTGAGACTTTACTTACCTGATCATGATGGCTAATATTTATAGTAAAAATTTCAGGATTCTGGCAATGTTTATTTACTCTTAAGAAAGCATACGCTTTTATAAGTATTTTTAAGAGCCATTTAGAAGCTAATGACCACAGTGAGATTAGCAAATCTCAAATAAACCAATTATTTAATTATTTGACTGCTTTCCAGTATACGAGAAATGAAGAGTTGCTGGTTTCCTACTATTTCGTTACCTGTCCCTGGATAACCTGAGAAGTTTGTATTTATGAGCATTCTTTTACTTTATTCCTCCATAGCTGGAGGCACAAGACGCCACTTAAAGTGTGTCTTGAAGCGGAGTGTCTGTTATCCTTTTTTGGTCTGGTTCTAGTTTCTCTTGGACTATTAATTTTCAATCAAATTAATCAAGGTTATCGTCATCTCTTGTGATTATATGTCCAAAGTAGTCTAGAATTCTCTGTCTTTGATTTCGAACTCTTTCAGTATAGACCTTTATGTTATCGCGTTTATCTATCCAGAGAATAGTTGCATTTGATGCTAGCACCACATTTCGAAAGATTTTACACCGTATAAGAAGATCGAGACTTTAAGAGTTTGACTTATATCCTTTTTGTGATTAGTTGATCTTTCCATATCTTCGTCCAGTTAGTCATGAAAACTTTAGGCATGATTGCATATTAATGCTGAATGAATTCTGTGACTTCTTCTAGTTTATCTACAATATTATCCTGTGTTAGAGGATTGCCTCTGTTTGTTATCATCACTTTCGTCTTATTTAGGTTCATTTCTAATTCCAGCAATCGGCTTTCTTCTCTCACTAAATACAGCATTCTATGGAGTTGGCAAAACTTTATTTTATAAAGCCGAGGCCGAAGCTACAACATGACAACCAGTTTCAGGTTAATATAAATTTTATGACAGTGCGCCCGCTCGATGGTTAAGATTATATCAACCTGAAACTATCTGGTAAAGTTGAAAATTTTTTACCTAATTAAGTCCAATAACCCGGCGCATTTGACCTTCACAGGTTAAGATAGATTTGCTAAGCTGTATGTATAATTTAAATATCTTTCGTTAAAAAAATTTGAAAAAATGATTTCATTTAAAGATCAAAACCATTTTAAAATGATATTTGCAAGTATTAATATCTTCTTAACTCGTACAAATTATTTAAAATACATCAGGGAATATCAAAGTGAAAATCATTAAGTAATTAATTATCCCTATTCCCTTGTCGTATAATCGCGTGACATCCTAATAAATACCAAATTACTTCATGAAATACCGAAAGAAATGAGTTAAACTCGTCCTCGACATGTTAAACAATCGTAAAAATATACAAGGAGCGGCGTTATCCAAACGAAAAAATCAATGATATGTGACACAATTTCATTAATCGGTTATTCGGAAGATTTATCCTTCCCCTTTAAATGTATCACCGTAACGGTATAACACTTAAACAAGCTTGTATTAAAGATTCACGATTGTTTGTATCTGAAAACCCGCACATTCATTCCGGTAGACACGCACAAAAAAATGATCGATAACACCGAAACAAAAATTTACCGTTAATTTAATTTTTTTGTTTTAACTTACTCTAATTGCTATCAAAAATTCGTCCATATTAACACCTCCACTGTTATCTTTGTCGAAACTTTCGAACATCGTTTTAGCCTCTTCGGCGGTTATTTCCAATCCAACCTCTCGTAAACCGACTAAAAATTCATCGAAATTTAACTGTTTGTTACCATCGTCATCCATGTTTCTAAAAAGTCGGCCTAAGCCCAAAATTCCTGTTGCGCCTCTTGAAAGACACAAAAGTCGAAGTCTTTTTATGGGATCTCCTTTCGAGCCTTCTGCTACAAGTTCTCGACGACTTTTACTCGCCAATTCGGATTCTTGACGGGACATTGCGCTTTGCGGTCTCATTTTATAATTTAACTAAAAAAATAATTATTAAGTTAACGTTTCGATTAAGTTTTTGAATTGAGCTCGATAAATTAATTTTACGTGCGTGAAGAATAGGGTGTGAAAAGGAGCAGGTGTATTCAAGTTGATATCGATTATATCAGTATTTTACGAGCTTATAATTAAACTTTAATCGGATAAAAAAAACAATATTCCTACATTAGTGTTATTAAAAGAAATGAACTTATTTTTTTAATTGAATCAATGGACTTTCTTTATTAAGTACATCTTAATTTTTATAAAAAATACTTCACTTTATTAATACTTACTTTCGAAACTGTTGCTTTGACTTCCTGAAGTGAACTGAAGCGAAATTGATGTTCTAAACGATTGATGGAACAATGTAAAGTAGCTAGTACGCAGTTGCCGTGACAATTTGTTCAAGCAATGACAACAGTTTTTCCGGAAAATTGAACAAGTTTCGCATTTATCTAATAATTGTACAAACAATATCTATAACTTGTCGATACGAATAGGTGCGATAAGAGAAGAGCCGGTATTATGTTGCAATCTGATAGATTGGGTGGACCTTATGATAACGGATGCGTGATAAATAAGTAAAAATTTTTAAGTATTATAGGAATTAACTGAAATAAGTGTTGCTAAATAATATCTTATAGGAAAAAGTCTTTAATGGATTGAATTCCTTTATATTTCGGTAGTAATTACATTAATTTTTCATGAAGGGTGCGTCAGGGTGATTCTGAAAATTAATTATTGGGGAGAAAAATTTAGTGGTAACAAACATGCTATTTATACTTCACATTTTCTTTTTGAAAATTATATATCAGCACCTCAGAGGTAAGGTGTGTCACATTTTTTGCGAAATGAGTTATCTCCACCATGTGTATTTATTTAAACATTTTAACCCATTAACTGCCACATTTTTTTTTGAATTGTGATTTGCCAAGTGAGGTACGTTAAAATTTAAAATCCCCAAATGGGGATTGTGGCAGCTAATGGGTTAAGTCCACTTTCAAATCTCCCTCCTTAACAATTTCGAGTTTGTGACTTAACATACCTTACTTCTAAAGTGCTGATATACATACAGGGTGTTTCTCTTAAAATTGTAGTCAAAAGAAACGTTCCCTTCAACACAAACTTTTTATTAGGTGCATATGATAGAACATCGGAAACTGTACAGGGTGTGCAAATTGCGATGGGTTTGCAGGGTATCTCAGTTATTATGAAAGATAGAAAGTTGCGGCTTTGGTGAACCTGAGCTACTTTTTTTGTGAAATGTATAATGGCGCAAACCAAATTTTCATAACCCTCTTCGTTTTTAATATACAGGGAGTGTTTGAAATTTACGATTTCAGGGCTATGAAAATTTGGTTTGCGTCATTGTAAGTTTCACAAAAAAGTAGCTCAGGTTCGCGAAAACCTCAACTTTCTATCTTTCATAATAACTGAGATACCCTGCAAACCCATCGAAATTTGGACACCCTGTACAACTTTCCTTATCAGCATTGAAAACTTAGTAGATTCGGAGATATTTAATAGGAAAGAATAAAAGAATTTAAACAACCAACAAGAAACATTATTTTCTAAGATAAATAATAAATATACAGCGTGTCAGATAAAAAACGACCCAAGCTGTAACTCTGTCATTTACATTCCGATTTTCATGAGCGAGGTATCAAATGAAATCGTTTGATGAATACTATGATTCATGCTACAAATAATTTTTTTCAAATTGCTGCGTACATTTTTCTTCACGTCGTTGCATAGAGTTTGTTTTTCTGAATCCATCGATGTACAATACAACCATTTTAAATGTAATATTAGCAGAGAAAAAACACCTGTATATGCAGGTTGTCACACAAGAATGCCGCAAGCTGTAACTCTGTCATTTACATTCCGATTTTCATGAGCGAGTATCAAATGAAAAGGTTTCATGAATACTATGATTCATGCTACAAATAAACTTTTTCCAACGCCACCTTCAATTTCAAGCGATTATTAACTTTTGATTCTTAAATTGCTCGGTATGTTTTTCTTCGCGTTATTGGATAAAGTTTTTTTTTTTTTTCTGAATCCATTAATGTACAATACAATAAAGTTTTTTTTTTTTTTCTGAATCCATTAATGTACAATACATCAACATTAATTGTAATTGTAGCATAGAAAAACATTAAAATAGTTTCCAAACATTCTCTTAAAGTCACTTGTGTTATACTGTAGTGTGCCATGGGAAAAAATAATCATTTACAACTGCTTCAGGCATTAAAATATAATTTAATGACTGTTATCAGTTTTGAGGGTTATTTTTTTCCATGCCACACTACAGTATTACAGAAGTGACTAAGACAATGGGTTCAGAAAAAAATATCTATCCAATAGAAAAACATACCCAGCAATTTAAAAATCAAATATTGATAATCGCTTAAAATTGAAGATCATCAAACCATTTTATTTGATACCTCTCCCATAATAATCGGAGGGTAAATGACAGAGTTACAGCTTGCGGCGTTCTTGTGTAACAATCTGTATATACAAGTATCTTTTCTCTGCTAAAATTACATTCAAAATGGATGTATTGTACATCAATGGATTCAGAAAAACAATCTCTATCCTATGACGTGAAGAAAAATATATGGAGCAATTTGAAAAAGAAAAGCTAATAATTGCTTAGAACTGAAGATGGCCTTGGAAAAAATTTATTTATAGCATGAATCATAGTATTCATCAAACCATTTCGTTTGTTGCCTCGCTCATGAAAATCGGAATGTAAATGACAGAGTTACAGCTTGGGGCGTTTTTTATCTGACACCCTGTATAAATAAGGTCCTACTAAACTTCCATTGGTTATCCTACACCAAACATTGTCCACAAAAATTGTTTCATTATTTCTTTATACTGTCCATCTAGGATTGTCCTGAGACCAATATCGATTACTTTGCATGTATACTGTTCGATTATAATGAATTACAGTTAGGTAAATTACATATCGGATAAGCGGACCAACCAACCTTACACCGCGACCTTAAGGATTTATTTTACCCCGATAGATAACGTTATCAAATCGTGCAGTCCAATGCTTTTAACGAACATTAATACTTTGCTCGGTGAAAAGTCATTCAGATCCTTTGGGGAGATAAACTGCGACCCAAAAATCGGGAATCTGATTTAAAAATTCATTTTAATTAAAAAAAATATATAATCAAAGAAATATAAATAAACTTAAAAAAGACTTGAATAATCATAATCCATACTTCAGCAAAAATTTAAGAATTATACTGGTGAAAAACCAAACTTAAGGGAATAGTCGGGAATACTCTTGTCAGAAACTTAATTTGCAAGAAAAAGTCTGAAATTGCAATAGTTATAAACTAGACTTCAGCAAAAAACAGGAATTACATTGTTCAAAGTCCACATGAAGTCTGAAATTACTGTTCAGAGAAAACAAAAAATTGATTATAAACCAAACATGATTTTTCATGGCAATACTTATGTGTTCAATAAAAGAATGCGAAGAATATGAACAAGAAACCAATGGACTTGTCTTGTTATTGCACAGGACAGGAAATCACCAATACGGAAACTTTGCCAATGCAGGATAAGCACAAAAGCAAAGTAACAGCTGCAGAAATGAGGTACCGGGTGGTACAAGATCCGTATAGATAATAAGAGGCTCCCAAAAAGATGATGATAGACACCCAGAAAGAAGTAGCTGTCAGTATCAAGAACAAAACATACATAACGTTGGCAGAAGACTAGATACTGCTTCTAAAAAACTAAATACTGCTTTCTGAAGACTAGATACTGCTCTGGAAGATTGAATACTGCTTTCTGAAGACTAGATACTGCCGACAGGTCTAAATACAGCGTCTGGAACAGTAAATACTGGTTTCTAAAGACTAAAATTGCTTTGTGGAGACTAAATACTGCGTTGTGAAGACTAGCTACTGCTGACAGGTCTAAATACTGCAAAAGAAAGATAAGATATTGTTGGAGAAAACATTAAAAAGGCGCCGGCGCCCTCTTTTAGGCGGCGCGCGGGTGCAGTGCACCCCTTGCACCCCCCGGTAGCGCCGCCTCTGTTCTGACACCTGAATGAACTATAATTGTTCTGTTAATTGTGGGGATATACACATTGTAGGCACCGGCTTGATTCACCCCCACATGAAGCTACATACATACAATAAGAAATTTGTTTCCGCTATACCGTAAGTGGCGGCTATCTTGTATATATTTTAAATTGAAAAATCAGGATGGACAACTTCTATAGTTTGATTTGATAGAATCCATGTTGCAAGTTTAAATGAAGCATTAATAATAAAAAAACGCGTTACAAAACTTCTTCATTAAGTCATCATCAGCCGAATCTGTATGTACTTTTTTCATAAAAAAGTATGTCTAATTTATAAAAATTACTTACGGTCAGATCTTTCTTTTCAAAAATTAACATAAATCAACAATATATCGAACTTTTTTAACATTTATAAGAAACTATTATTTAAACTAAATACTCTTATGTCTAGTTGAGATACAAAAGTACATAAAAAAATAAAATTTTTTCAATTATATATGTACAGTATGTCCCCGGATCCAGTTACAAAGAGGAAAAAAATTTTTATTACTATTAAATAATACGTCGGATATGTTCAAACCACTAAATCGCACGAATTTCATACTCTAACTATAGAAGTTAACTAATTATAGCCATTTTTATGTAAAAAATTGACCTTTTTTCTAAACTAAAAATTTTTCAAAGTTCAAGTTCAATTTATGATATGTAACTATAGAAGAGTGATGTAAATCCAAATTCTACACTCTCTAGACGAAGTCAACATTTCAAAAAAGTAAATGTGCGGTGTGCTATAACATATCACGGGGTAATTGGGCCATATTTCTTCGACGAAAATGTAAATCAACAGAAATATTTGGATATGTTACAAAATTATATTAATGAACAACTTGATGAATTACCCTTAAATTTTATACGGTCAATGTACTTTCAGCGAGACGGTTGCCTAGCTCACCATCACACATTGTGACCGAATGGCTATTTTATGACCAGCACATAGTCCTGATCTTACAATTATGAATTTTTATTTTTGGGAACGATTGAAACAAATTGTTTACAGTGAACCATTACAAGGAGATGCAGAACTATTAAAACTAAGAATAATTAATACGATAGAATCTCTACCACTGGCGGAAATTCGTAATTCTTGCAAAGAATTTAGCACTTGTCTTCAAATGTGTGCCGAATAGTTCATTTGTTCACTTACAAACTTGCATAGTGTGTTATTACATACATTTACATTTAAAATATTTTATTCAATTATTTAGCCATATTTTAATTTGATTTGTCCGTATATTTTTCACTAACATAAGTTGTAACTTTTATGGTTTCTATGGTTACATATCATAAATTGAACTTGAAAATTTTTCAATTTAGAAAAAACTCCAATTTGTATATAAAAATGGGAATAATTGGTTAACTTCTATAGTTA